ATCAAAAAAATATAGGTTTGCCAGAGAAATTGTATAATATTGGATCAATTAGGTGATTGTTTAAGAAAAGATACAGGCCATTACCAGATTTATTACCCGATGTTTGTAGGTGTGATAGTCTGGTGTTACATAAATAGGCAGTTCAGTTGTAATAAGCCACCTTAACATTAAGACCATTGATTACATTTTAAATATCTTATCAATGATAAGACTGGTCATTGTTTACATTTAATTTCAGTTTTGAAAATCAGTGAATTGATGTTTATTTATTTACATTTCAATTAATAAAATGTCCTCATAAAATTTTTCTTAAAAGTGAATATAGTTTATTCTTCTATATAAGATCACATGTATGTGATCTATTTAGTTTTTAATTGTTCATGTATTAAGGTTACATGACGAACATAAATTTTGAACGAACATTATAGTTTATGAAATAAGTAATCGCAGCTTAGTGCATAAAGAATAGTTTATCTATTCATTAAATAAAATTAAAAGAATTTTTTTATGCCTTGTCACATGTTGTCAAAATGCGGAGCTAAGAAAAAATTAAAAGAAAAAAAAAAGGTATTCGGTGGTCAACTTACTCAAATTGTTGCTAGGTTGCTAAGGTAAGCAGAATGAACTTCTTTTGTAGTTTTAAACTCACTGTGGATTCGAAAGATATTAGAAGTCTCCTATGTATTGTCTGGAGCTGAATTTTTTGTAAGTTATGAAAAATTATTCTGTTATTTATTGTGCGAAGGCTTTAATATTTTTTTTTTTATAGTTTATAGATTGGATTGATAAAGCGTTCTCATCAAAAGAAGCTGATTGATTAGTTGTGAAATAAGACATTCCATCGGGAAATAAATATAAAATTCAACTTGAAGCCGATATGTCAGGGACGTAACGGTTTAGTCCACATAAGGGTAATTAATTACTCGCCCTTTCGTGTTGAGGTTGCTCATGTACTCTCGCTCGGGATGGTGAGCGCAGCAACTAATAATGCCAAATTATTAGGGGTCACCACGTTGCAGACCTCTCCTAGTCTTTGTACCTCCAACCCTACATATAGTATGGTAGAATTAGTTTTTTGGCCCAGAAAATTCTGACAAGCTCGAAAAAAATTGGGTTGTAGTTTTAATGTATTAAAACAAATTGACACAGAATTAAACAAGTAGAAATGTCAGCAAGAGCCCCAAAAAAATAGCAAAAATAGTCAAAACATGTTTTTTGCGTCTAGAAAAAAACCGAAGAATTGTACATAAAAAGTGTCATGTTTAAAAAGATGTGCGATTTCAAGACTAACAAAATGAGCTGCGTTGAGTTTGAATCAGCTCAGCCATTTTTTCACAAATCGCAAAAAATTGCCATTTTGAGTTATTTTTTCGAATTTCAATAATTCGCTATCTTTACAATAGTAAGACTTGAAATTTTAACACAAGACATATCATAGCTCATATCATACACATAAAATTTTAGCCTAATCGGTTTTAAACTTTTTTATAACCGCAGAAAAAACCGAAAAAAGGTCCTCTCAAAAAACGGCCATAAAAAAGTTATCTAACATAGGTACATTTTTTAAACTTATTTCGCTTCGTCTATATATACTCGATAACTTCCTAAAACGCCATTTATTTTTACCAATTTAAAGTATCTTAAACATCAATTGCAAAATGGCTTTTTGCACTTTGGTCAGTGGAATCAGCGACTCGATGAGGCCACGCCCATTTTCCGAATGTATGTTTTGATCAAGTGTGTTCGAAACGAAAAAGTGCTTCTTTTGCAACTAATTTTTAAGATGCTTCTAGTTGGTAAAAATGAATGGCGTTTTAGGTAAGAAGTAGAGTAAATATAGACGAAGCGAAATACGTTTAAAACATGTACCTATGTTGGCTAACAACTTTGTTACGGCCATTTTTCGAGAGGACCTTTTTTCAGTTTTTGCTGCGGTTTGCGAAAAGCTTAGAACTGATTAAGCCAAAATCTTGTGTGTATGATAAGGGCTATGAAAGCTGTCTTGTGTTAAAGTTTCAGCTCTCAATGTTGTTTAGAATGCTAGTTATTAGTTTCGAAAAAATGGCGCAAAATAGCAGTTTTTTTGTGATTAGCGAAAAACCGGCTGAACCGATTTAAACTTAACGCAGCTCATTTTGTTCGTCTTGAAATTGCACATTTTTTTTCACCACACCTTGTTATATACAATTCTTTAGTTTTCTTCTAGACGCGAGAAACATGTTTTGACCATTTTTGCCATTTTTTGGGGCTCTTGCTGATATTTCTACTTGTTAAATTCTGTGTCAATTTATTATAATACATAGGAACTACTACCCTGTTTTTTTTGAGCTAGTCAGAATTTCTGGGATATCGTTATTATTTTTAGCTAATTCTACCATAATAATACGACTCTGTGGTTCCTGGGCTACTAAGAGTAAGCGTAGGCCGGGATATACGTTGTGCCGACGTAACATTGACATAACCTCGTTAGTTTGTGTGTATACTTTGTATCAATGGTAATAATGAGATCTTGTTGCTACTATATTCATTATCTTTGGTTAAAAGAAATTTCAAGGTCACAACTGTTCTTTCGTAGCTTATTACATTTTTTGTACTAGAAAAGGTATGTAATTGAATAATATCGATTCGTGTTTTACTTATGATTAGCACATGCTTGTTACTAAACAAATAAATTCCTTTTACTATTTGACTCAGTTCTAATAAAAATAGTTAGGTATTAAAATACCCTTCGGAATTAGATTCCGTGGCGTTTATTAATTTTTTTATGGGATTACAAAATGTAGAATTAGAATCCTTAAAAATGCAAAACTTAAAGGTTAATTGATTGTGTGATTGTGTTTATTTTTTCTGTTTTTAATAAATGCATTGTTTTAATTGCCATTTTGTATACCAGGTGTATGATATTTAAATTATTAATTTTTGTTAATTTAATTTCTTTATAGCGTGTTTTTTTATAGCCATATACAATGATGTGTTGTATTTATGTACAAAAAAAAATTTTAGCGCATCCCAATCTTGTTTAGTTCTAGATTTTGTTCTGAAGAAAACTTTATCAGAAATTTCGGTTGTTACCATTGGTTATTTCGTCTTATGCGTCTCAATTTTTGTTCTTGGAAAATTTTGCATTTTTGTACAAAATTCTCAATATCTTTCCTCTTACCGTCAAAGTTATACAATTTTTGTATTCTTTTACAGGTTGGGTTTATGCTTTAATGGCCGCTGAACATACCATAGTGACAAAGACATTCTATTAGTTTTTGTTGCCTAAATTTCTTCGATAAATGAAAAAAATATGTAGTAATTCTAATTTTTACATAGTTGAGTTTTCCTTTCGTTTTTTTTATAACCAAACGGAATAGTTGTTTATTTGTACGAGAGGTTGTTATCACGTTGCTTATTTGTGGCTAGGTTTTATTTAATGCACATTTCAAACTGTTATTCAAACCTAATAATAATTTATTGTTATTTAATTGATTTCATGTTCACTTAATAAAATAATAGAGTAATAGTGGTAAAATTAAAACTCACCAGTTTTTTGTGATCTTTATATAAATTTCTTTAATATTTGTAACAGCTGTTTTGGTACACTGTACTTTTATTAGACGAGTCGCAATAAGCTACTATGCTATACAAACTGTTACTTGGTTTGCATTTGATGTTTGCTTGAATGTTATTTTTGTGGACATGCTCTGCTACTATACATTAATTTATTTGGTGTGAATCCTGTATTTGTATGCAAAAAATAGTAGCCTACCCCAATCTTATTTGGTTGCAGCTTTGTTCTGAAGTAGTAGAAATTGCCATGATTATCATTGGTTCTTTCGTTTTTATGCCTCTTAATTTTTGTACTTGGCAAAGTTTGCATTTTTGTACATGTTTTTTTTTTTTCTTCTCTTAACTTCCCAGTAATACGATTCTCGTACTCTTTCATAGGTTGTGTTTCTGCCTCTATGCCCACCAAAGAGACGATATAGTGATATTCTATAACTGTTATTATATATTTGTATCGAGTGAACACTGAAGTAATTAAGTATTTAAAATAATCTGAGATAAGCTTTTTGGTGACTTTATATTTTAAATTGTTACTAAGGCTCCAGCAGTGTTAATTGGATGCGTCAGCAGTTAAAATAAATAGTTTGACAATGCTGACACATGTTAATACTGGAGCTTTATTAAGGGCTACTTTTGATTTTCTAAAGCTCTCTGCTTGAGTTTCAGTCTGATCGAATTTTCTATCATGCTCTGTTGATTCTAAAAATTCTTAAATTTTTGTACAATTTGTTGGTAATGAAAAATTGTTAACTGCTAATTTAAAGTTTATTATCAGGTTTGACTTTATTTCTTACATACGTCTGCTAGACTAACTACCATCTGTTAGTCTATCAAATAATTTTTTTTTTATCTTACGTTTTTTATAATTTTTGGCACATAAAATATCATGTAAAAATATAAACATATATGTGCCTTGTAGTCTAAATAATACGGAATCCTTAAGTCTTTAAAATGTAAACAGTGCGTTAAATAATCTAAATGGCATACCTGTATAATCGTGTAATGTTACAATGTTCGTATGGTGTAATCAAAGCTGTTCTGTGGTGATCTTATAGAAAATCTTTAATTTGATGGAATTCATTAGCTAGATCAAATACTAATGAAAATTCTAATCGACTGGTTAGTTCTAACGATTTTGTAATATTGGTCAATGGGTAAGTATCAGGAATGGTTTTAGCATTCAATTTTCTGTAATTTATTACGAGACAACGACTTTTTTCTTCGTTGGGCTTTGGCTTGTCGGTGGCGATCCAAAGTGGATTATTGTATAGGCTAGAAAAGTAACAAATTACTATCTCTTTAAATAATTTATTAATTTGATCTTTAACTTTTTTTGTGTACAGTAGGTACCTATACTTTTTATCAAACTCAGGCTTATCGTCAGTTGTTGGTATTTTGTGATATACACACAATGTACGGAGGGCTACATTTCCATGTATGTAGAAAAGATGTGGATGTTCTGTGAATATGAATCTAAATCAAAACTAGGGGACAGTGAGTGCTTGGATTTACAAGTATAAAGTCTATAAAATTATATGGCAGTTAAGATAACTAGAAATATAAATATAGATATATCTTCCATGAAACGACATTGTGTATAAAGGTGATGCAATTATCGTTGGAACGAGTATGTATATCTACGTGAATTAAATGTGTTTTCAATAAATATTTCAATATTTAATAACTAAACAATTATAAACAATATATTGTGGGGTACAGCTGCACATATACGGTACCTCGTAGACACGTGGCCGCTGAATAAAGTGAGGAATTTTAGGTCGCATGGAAGTGGCAACTGCGTGGTTGAGAAAAGGTGCCGTGGAAGGGTATTGCGTGGACGATATGCGTATCAAAAGCTGAAAAGAGCTCAGATTTTTCTTGGACGATCGTGGTAAGAGGGTCAACGATCACGGAATTCACACTCAACCTGTTGCCGCATGGTGCGATTTAACCTGCACGAGGCAGAGTCGGTGCTGCATCTTTTGTCTTTTGCTTTAGGTTTTCAATTTTTTCCTAAATAATACAAAGTCATCGCATTTGATTTTGAGATTTTGGCTCGCGGACTGCTTAAAAAGATAGTTCCTCGTCACGGAGACAGTAAAATCCTTTGGGTGGTCTTAACGACGTGTCTTAACTGAATTGATGGTGTCACGCTTTGTCCTTTAATTTTTTTTGTATCTTTATTTGCCCTTCGCGAGTCTAGTGGTCGTCGTATTTCCGAGTGTATGTATTAGGTTTCCCGTAAAGACGGTGACGTTAAGCCGCCCATCTCTTTCTTGACTTGAATGCACCGGGAAGGCCGTTTGCGTCGTATTTGATAAACTGCATTTTAAACGACGCACAATTTAGTATGTAGTCTTTATCTTAGGCGATTGTGTATGAAGCGCAAAATATTTTTATTTTATCCTATTATTCGTTGATTATGTAATGGTAGAATTTATGGCATACAAGAGATTGTTAAGAGAGAAAGGATTCATTTTATTTTGTCTTGCGTAGTTGCCTCATGTTGTACTTGTGATAGTCAATACGAAATTTTAAGATCTCGATGGATCTAAGTTTTTTTTAAATTTCATCTATGATTATAAATAATAATTGTAATATTTTGTTATTTTATTTTGATGTTGTTAACTAAACTGTCACCATCGAGTACTGAGTAAAGTCATAAGATGCTCCATTAAGTCATTGTTTTTTGTTATTTTTGAAGTTTCCGTATGTGCGAAATAGATATTTAATTTTCTTTACTAAGTAGTATTCTATAAGATAGTGAAACGAAAATTCTCGCCCAGTCTTAGTAGCATACATTTTATTCATATGTTTGAGGCTAACCATTGCATCGATTAAAATAGTTGTATAAAAAGCTGGGCCAAAATACAAAGCGAAACTACATTTTCGATGTTGTTTCAATCATTCAAAATAAGATATTTCCTTTATTTTTATTTTTAATAACTGCTGTATAAGTTTTCAATTTATATAAAGAATATATACTCTAAACATTCTCTTTGTTTTCATCATTCAGCGATGCACCCCTCTTCTTGAATTCCCACGCAACCTTGCAATATTATGGCATAATATAATATAAACAATATGTTGGCTGGTCAGTATGACATGATACAGTTACATTGAATTTTTCGATAAATTCAAAACAACTTCCTATCGCCTAAGCTAATTACATCTCTAACGTCACGCTCACATCTCTCACATACGCTTACACAATTATCCCTCCTCGATACTTAATACTTAAAATGTAATTATATCAAAAAAGTTAAGACAAACCAACCTGTCGTACCGCTTTCTTTAATAGCATCAATAGTATTACATGCCAGGGAATGTCCCATCAGGACGTTCATCACACGTAGGTTTTTTTGACGGATATTATTCAGACATCAAAAGTCTACTTGAAATAGCATAAGAAATACCCAAAAAAAATTGCAGATCGTTCAAACGTACCATTTTTCACATAATTAATTTTAAAAAATTGCAAGTTAACATGTAACCTTATAAAAAAATCACTTAAAATTGAATTTATATGATCTGTATAATAGTCTGTATGAATCTAGATTACTTTAAGATAAACCTATTTAATTTTTAAATATATCCGCAAATTATTTATATTTTTATAACACATGAAAAATGGGTCAAGTATGCGTAAAAGCGTGTATGTAAGTATATCCACATGAGAAAAATAATTTTCAGCGTTGCTGCATATATTTGCGCTCCTTGCATCTCTTTGAACTTTGACCTGATTTTTTCCATTCTAACTATGTAATTAACGTCCTCAAGTCGAAAAACCATCTTAATCACAAAAGAAAACTTGTAAATGAGGAAAACGCAATAAAAAGCAATTATTGTATTTATACAGCACAAAAAAAGTTTTTTCGCATTTTTAATAATTTGAAAAAATTTAAAACCAACTACTTTTTTATTTATAAAGTACCAAATTAATGATGTATTAATAATCGTTTTTTTAATACATGGGAAAGCTGCTTTGCAAAAATATACTAATTTCTAAGTTTTCGAAAAAAAAACGTTTGATGAAACAAATTAGTTTATCAAATAAATTATTTATTTATTCCTGTCATTTTAAATCAAACTAAATTAATTAATAAGCAGTAAATCAAAATTTACACTAAAAATTCGTTATAAACCACACCATAAGAAGAAGTAATTGAATTTTCTATATCGGGACCGCTAATGGCAGAGTAGGTAAGGTATTTGATTCGTGTACAGGAGGTCAAGGATTTAAGTCTCTTTTTAGTGTAAATCTAGGGTGCTCGTTCTTGCAATTTTCATCAATTGTATTTAGTACCACCGCTTTTCATATTGTATTTCGAGAAGTTAATCCAATAAGGACAATTAACGTATCTGTACTTTTTCTTATAATTTTATTATGTTATTTACATTCGAGAGAAATAGACATTTTTATGGCAGTGGCATCAGCTCTGATAAATGTGTATACGTTTTTAATTAGCTATGATAAATTCAGCCCTACTGTCGGAGCGTTGGCGATATTTTTTGTGTGTCACACTTGGGTGATTGCACAAAGTGGTTCGTCAGTGGACGCTAGCTCAAGTTTTTTATCGACACATCGTCTGAGCGATGAGCACCGATGCCCTCGGATTGTTTGGTTAAGGAGAACTTAGTCTGAAAATTTGTTGATTATTATTAAAGGAATTTGACTTCAAGTGAATATTGTTTCTTGATTCTCCTGGATATGTCTGAGCGTTTTTGCAAGTGCAAAGGTAATTGCCTATTAGAGTAATAGATGAGTTGAGGAATACACACTGCAGTAAAGTAGTGTGAAAAGCACCATTTAAATGAGCTGGTGATTAGTTTTTGTATAGTCCTCATTGTGCGGAGTCAAAATTTCGATGATTTATTCACAAATTGTGTAAAAGTTTTTAAAGAATGTGTCTTATTCGATTTATACAATAATTTTACAGATTGATTAGCTCAGTCATTATTTTTATACTGGTGAGCTGGGTGTGATACTATCGTACTGAATGCATTAAGTAGTAGAAACAAATTCTGTGTCACTAGGATTGTAATACTAAGGTATGTTATTGTGATCGTAGACATTAGAATCGTAATAATCAATTTATTGTAAGTTAGTTTGTTAACGATGACAATGTTAAAATTTTTCTTGTCTGTTTTGTTAATGTAGAATGTGCGTTCTGCCCTACGGAGTAAATCAACGATTTCAGATTGGTGACCTTAAGAAAAAGTGTAACGGAAGTGGATTTTGCTTGGTTCTCCCCCTTCGCCCCGCCCCTCTTTACGTACTTCCGGTCCCCCTACCCCTCCCAACATCATCATCTCACCACACTACACAACATTATCGCACCGCACCGCACCACATATTTTGAATTTTACAATTTTTTTTTTTAACCCATTGCTAAAAAAAAAAGAAAAAAAAAAAAAACAGTTTTCAAAGAAATTTGAACCCCCGTCCTCTTCACATTGGGTAAGCCCTTCACCCACTCTACTACGAGCGGGCCCGACGTATGAAAACCGATTACTTCATTTTATGTTACAGTTCGTTACTTATTTTCAATGTCAATTTTCATTTATTGTAGAATCATTCATTTGGTTTTATTTTACATGAAAGAAACAAGTTATTTATTAAAATAATTTTTTTTGGTACATGTTTTTTTCAGAAATTTCAATTTGTTACTTTCAAAATGAATAAGTTATTGTTCATACAATTTTTTCACATTTTTTCAGAACTTTCATAAATGAAAAAAAACCATTTCCGTACTGTATAAGTACAATAATTGATTTTTATTGCTTTTTCTTCTTTCACAATTTTTCCTTTGTAATTGAGGACAAAATTCAGAAAAGCGTCAGGAGCGCAAATACATGCTGCAACGCTGGAAATTATTTTTCTCATAAAGATAAACTTACATATACGCTTTTACGCATACTTGGCCTTTTTTTTTTCAAAGTGATTTTTTCATAATGATCTGCCATTTTATAAGGGTATTTCTTATTTTCTGAGGTAGTTTTTTTGAAACCATAGGAAGATTCGATGAAAGAGCACAATCTTGTACTAGCCAGCTGCCGTATTGTTTGTATTGTATTGTGCCAAAAAAATTTGTTTATGATTGTTTTGTTGTTAGATATTACAATATTTATTGAAATCACACCCAACTAACGTAGGTATACAATTTTCAACGGTAACTGCACTATTTTCGTACATAATATCGTTTCATACGAGGTATACTTGTATTTATAATTATATTATTTGTTAAATAATTTTATGGAAGTATAACTTTTTACTTGGGTACCCAAGCACCCACTGTCCACTAGTTTTTTAACTTCAGCTTCTAAGGGTACTTCTTAAGCGCCAAAGAAATATTTGAGCACGTTTGACATTATGTTAGCCATAAATGACCGTTCCTTGGTATTGTTTTTAATCAGGCTGATGATGTTTGGAGATCTTTTTTAAAACATTTTTTTTCTGCTTTTCCATCTTAATTTATAAATTGGGAGATTCTCTCGTAAAAATTGCGAATAATTTTTCCCTTGTTTTATTAGAGAATTATTGTTTTCGGAAATATATTGGTTTATGATAATACATGGCTGTATGAGTTTTAGAGGAAGCAAAGTTTGCTTTTGAATGGCTAATACGATTGTCTGATATATTTAATGTTACTGTGTCTAAGCAACTGTTTGCCCTTTAGTCTGAAAATAACTAATTTTGAAAATTTTTGCTTTCACATTCGAAATAAGATATGTACTGTTTTTAATATCTTGCGAAAAATCGCTAATCAGCGCATTTTTGTCACAGTGTATGGGTGATATGGCAGTTTCGTTGGTACGCAAAGCTGAATTGTTGAGGGCTACGTTACGTAATAATTTGAGGATTTTTAATGATTTTTCGGCTTTCCTTGCTCTATGTTATCGTTTCAGTAATTGTATCCTTGTAGTTACAAGGTTTGATTTATTACAGCAAAATATCCAGAGAAAGGAAAAAAAAAAAAATGAAATAAAATAATATAGAAAAAAAATTTTTTTTCTACATTAAACAAAAATTATAATTTTTTAATAAAGTGTACTTCGAGAACAAAAAAATACTTAATTTTTCACTAAAGATGCCAATCAGTTACGTCCGAATTTTTTATTAAACATTTTAACACTATAATACATTTTAATGATATTCATAATCGACCTTATCATCAGTTAGAGATACGAGTCGTTATTAATTTTATTATTACCACTCTTCTACTTAATTCAATAAAGTGGCTACTGAGTTGAAAAGTTAGGTGGGTCTTATGGACGAATTGATACAACGCTTAAAAATAAGTAAAAAATTTGATTTTACTGTAAATTTGTAGGTAAGGTATTAATTTTTAGGGCTTATTATTATTTGACTTGGTGCAATGGCCCAATTCTTGGCCATTGCAGAAAGAACTTGTCCGTGTGGCCAAAACTTCAAGTCCCAATAGCTGGCTAGTCGTATAAACTGTACACAATTAGCATTGGTCAGCTATTAGCACGCACCAAAAGTTAGGTTATGTTGACAGATGTTCCAAAGCCTGGCCAGATGATCAAAGTCATTTTCTAGAAACATTTGAAAAAAAGTTTTTAATTAAAGTGTATTATTGAGATAACTTTTAAGCATCGAGATAACTTTTTAGTAAAGCTGTGTTGAAAAATCGATCTATTAATGCTTATGTGATGGTTCAATATTTTCTCTGTAAAAGCACTCTTTAATTCTTGATTAATATATAGAAAACACAACCGCAATATTTTTAGTATTACAATCATACTTTATTATAAATAATTATTTCAATATATTTTAGGTACAAAGTGTGTTTCTGGTGAACATCTGAGTGTTAGTGGACGAGCCCTCAATGATTGTCATGCAGAAGTTATTGCCAGACGATGTTTATGTGAATATTTATACCAACAGTTAGAACTATTTTTACAAAATAAAGAACTTGATTCAATCATAGAACCTATGAAAAAAGGTTACAGAGTGAAGCAAGGGATTCAGTTTCATTTATATATAAATACAGCACCTTGCGGAGATGCAAGAATTTTTTCCCCTCATGAAGACAGTGATTCTATTGATAAACATCCAAACCGACGAGCTAGAGGTCAGTTAAGAACTAAGATTGAATCTGGTGAAGGTACTATTCCAGTGAAAAGTAGTGAAGGCATTCAAACTTGGGATGGAGTTCTAATGGTAAATAATTTATTTTTAGTAATTTCTAACTAATATTCGGTTAACGAGTGGCTTTCACTGATCTGCCATTATTTTTCTTGCAAGCTAATACGTATTTAGAGAAATAGTTTAAACCTTACAATTATAATTCAAATGATAAACAAGATACCTTTTAATAAATAAATATTACAGTTGTTGATTAACTTTGTAGTGTAAGCTCATAATCGAATATCGAATACTTGTTGTTAAACTAATAATGAAAAGCGAATAACTTGAAAAAAGTGCATTATTTGTCTGCTTAAGAATTGAGTATAGTCTTATATAAGTTCTTACAGAATTGAATTTTTTATACAATTTTTTTTTTTTTTTTTTTTTTAGACAGAGTTTTTTATGACACGTTCTGCTGGTGCGTAAACTTGGAAAAATTTATGCACGAAACTCATATTTAGTGTTTTGTTTATAATACTGAAAAAAAGAGACTGGTTGCTAAGTAAAAATGGAGCGGCTGGCAAGGACTCTCCGTATAGAGGAAGGGTAGAAATGTGAAAAGAGAGAACATGAGAGTATATAAGGAAAAAGGGATAGGCTAGCTGTATGGACTATGGAAAATGATGATGGGAAAGTTGTGTGCATTTGTGTTTATTTATTTCGTACATATATGGGAAATATATGTGCATAATAGAGATACAAAGAAAAAAATCACTGCATATCAAACAAAAACGATAAAGGTTAAAAAAACTTTAACGCCTTCTTAAAAAGGTATCAGTATTGAAACGCACATACATAAATTATTAGTTACAGCAACGTATCTTCCATTTCTCTTCTATGGTTATATTATTGTGAAATCAAAGAATAAACAATTAAAGTACTCTGAATGCTTAGAAAATATATGTAGACGTGCTCAATTTACTTTAAACTGAGTTTGTGACAATGTAACGGTTAGTAAGATAGAACAAAATTAACAATTTTTACGGGTTTTGGGACAAAGAAAATATAAATCGAAGTACACTCACATAGAGGTGTTCTTCGATGGAACAGAATGACCTTAATTTTCTTTGTTTTGGGTGTGCTTTGATAATATTGTGGTAGACTGATTAATACTGTCACCTGAATAATATCAATGATATTAATATTAACGTGCATGTATTGTTTTCAAACAATTTGGCGATAACAAATTCTTAAAAAACATTTTTATAAAATCTATTTCGAAGAAAAATGGACATAGGCAACATTAAAAATTTTTACGGTCTTTCAAAGGGCTTATAATAATTGAAGAGCATAAACGTACGTAAAGATTTTCGTTGATCCTATATAATAGCTTTGATTTTCCATATTTTGGATATACTTTGATAAAATTAGTGTTTCTTCGACAGACTAGGGATGATTGTTCGTTACTTTGTTTGGTTTAACTTTCATATGTTCTTCTTTATACTATTCAAAATATATCTTTATTTTAGTCTATAATAAGATTATAGTGTGTTTTATACCAAGATCGTAAAGTTTTGTTTTGTCTTTGTACGAACACTTTGCACTGGCCAATTACTCTGTTACTTAGGGTGGGAACAAATTTTGTACTTGAAAAGATAAGATCTTCACTTCTGCCCATGGATTCAAAGTGATATAAATGTGTGGTATGCCCTCAGATGCATGAAATAGTGTCAGGTACTTGGCTCTGCTGACTCCTAATGGCGTAATGACTCTCTTCTATTTTTTCTATTTTTGCTGTTTGAGGCAGCTGCAAAAGCAGTGAACCTCTCTGTGCTATTTACCGTGTAAAAACGGAGCAACAGAGCACATTTTTACACTCATAAGTTACCCGTATGCAAGAGTTTAGACTTTAACAAAAACGCTTTGTAGAACATAAGAGTAATAATTTTAAAGACTTTTTTACCAGTAAGCATATTGGCTGGTTATATCACCTTGTGTGTTGCCTTCTGGTCTTTTCACTCTGACAGATTTTGCCTCTTATATACGCAGGACACTTCGTGCCACCAAAAATCTCTGCTATCACCAGTGAATTCAATGTTTGCTATGTTGTGTTTTTCTACCGTTTAAAAGATTCAAGCTGTAACTTATTATCGAGTTAAAGTAAAAGAAATCTTTGCACTTGCTGGCAAGTAGAGGTAAGAAGGAGTTTAAATTCATGCAAAGAGAACCTTCCAAAAATGCACCAAAGCTAGAAGACACTCTGTCAGTTGAACAAAATGAAGTTATATGTATCAAGTGATTTTTTTGTCATCCTGGTGAAGAGTTAGAGAATTGTCGTTGATACTGGGACTGCTGAAGCATCAGGACATTTTTATATACGCGTGGCGAGCTGGAATTATTACTATGCGATATTTGAGTGCAGATGAGATACGCCGTTTTGTGTATGGTGTCTTTCTCTCTTTCTCTCTGTAAGTGTATTTAAGAGCAAATGTGTATGTAGATATACTTAGATTAATATAGGTAGTAAAGAGAATGCTTGCTATTATAAAGAATAAGGGAAAGATAGGAAGAGAGAATGATTGTTACCGCGACGTTTGTGATGAATGCTATTCTAGTTTAAACAGAAATAAGCACCAATCGTGAAGATAGCTATGAATTGTCTTTTCATATGTATGTTTGGTTTAATACAAAGTGATTGTTTTTTACTTCGTTTGGCAGAAAATAATGGCACCAAAGTGAAGAGTACTCTCATGCGTACTGCATATGATTTCTTACTAGTTCTGTATAACTTGAACTAGTTTTTCAAAACTTTGAAATGAAATAAAGAATAATTGAAACTTTGTAGTTCAATGAAAGATTAATCATTTGAACTTTGGAGTTGAATGGGAGATTGTTAAGAGATTACAGCTCTTGAAGTCTATTAGTGGCTAATCGGACACGTGGAGTTATCGAGAATTGAAGCGTTTCAGAATCTTTGAGACTATAAGTAAAAGCAAATACACGTTTTCTAAATGGAGAAGTAGATTTATAAATGTGTGAATTTAAAATATCAAAAATTAAAACTTTTTTGTGCATTCTCAGCATGCGAGCACAATATAAGAACAAAGTATTTATTTAAAAAAGTAATCTACGATAACAGTTGTAAACAGAATTTCACATTAAGTTATTCATATAGTTCTGTGACAGATGAAAAAACTACCTTATGTTTAACTCAAATAAGAGTGGAAATGAGGATATGAGAGTTGTGTAAACAAAACGTTTTGTACAAACTATTATTCAGAGGCTTGGCCGTAATACTTTAGATAACCAGAAGTTTGAATTAAAGTAAAAATTTTAATTTAGGAAATTCGAATTACTAGTTAAGATAACTCGAGATCAATTAAAACTATTAAAGATAATGGGAGATCAATTAAAACTATTAAAAACACAGAATATTTCTATTTTATAAATTATTTTTGGTTAGAGGTTACAAAAAATCAATTTCATTTCTTGGTATTAATTACTAGTTTTGTCTAAAACCATGAAGCGGAATATTTTATTAGTTTTAATAAAAAGATAATATGGTTAAATAAAAGAAGGGTTAAGACAGCACGATTTATGTTTGCACTTTAAATAAAATATTAGAGAGTAAAGTATGTAAAAAAAAGTTGTTTCCTTAAATAGTAAAAAAAAAGTGGTTCGCTTCAAGAAAGTTGACGGTACTGTAACGTTCTCTCTTATTTATATGTGGCTTCTTGTCGAAAAAATAGTCACCATGTTGATGATTTATGAAGTCGTGGGGTCATGGCTATTACGTACACATGTACATAATATTTGATTTACTTGAAGAATACTTGTTGATAGTAATCTCCCGCCCTTCTAGTATTTTCTTACATAAATGAATATAACCTCCTTACCCACAAACCCGGAGATAACTATTTTATTGCATAAATAGATGTAGTATTATAAAAGATGGCACAGGGTTTATACAAAGAATAATTGAATTAAATACATAATACTAAAGAGTACATGGTTTGGAATCATAGAAACATCAACATGGGATGCTTATTCGCACATAAGTTTACAATATAATATTTTAATAGTCATCGTGTCATGCTATACGATTATTAAAATAACAGCAGCAAATAATGGTTATTAAATAATATTTAAAAAAAATTAGTTGAATTCTCAATAGTAACCTTATGGAAAAAAGATACTAGCGTAATGCGTATGCGAAGGGATCGGATACGATGCCTCACCAAGCACTTCGCTATACGCCAGTAGTAAAAATCATGAGATCAGCGTATATCCGAGGAGTAAGTACAATTGACCTGTTAGGAAGGGGATCTAGAGCTAGAATTTGTCGTTGCAGTGTCTTGCTCAAACAGTAGACTTCGATTTTTCTGCGGCTCTGTACTTGCTGCGGCCATGGGAGGCTAATAGCCTATCATTGGTTGATTTTCGCTGATTTTCTCTCGTAGACTATACTTGGCCTTCGCGTTGCGCACTAGCTCTATTCTACATACTAGCTTACTTTTAGGTGGCAGCTTTAAATACTAAATGGCCAACTTATATTTAATTATTGAAAAATATGAATCTTGTAAAATTTATATAGAGGGTATTGTTTTGAAGAAAAAAATGTACCATATTTTTAGTAGAAGTGACTGATGGTCACAGCCCTTTTTTTATTCATAAGAACAAATATAGAATAATTTTTAAATAAAATAACTCTAAAAACAAGAGGAGACATTAAATAAAATTAAATTTTTTTTTGTTTCTTAGGTAAGAAGATTCTGCGCATCCTAACAATTATATTTAAATGTTTTTGTTGTAATTTTAACAATTACCGCACAATTAAATTTTTATTATCATCCTAGTTGTACCCCCTTTAGCAGGCTTCATATTCATAATACATCAACATAAAAGTTCACCCCCTTTCATATGATCGCTTCATGATCAAGACACAATACTTACTTATTTATATGATCACCTTTTTTGGCACGTGAACGTTAAACTATAAATGTTATATCTATTTCTTAAATGACAATAATTTTATAAAACAAGTTTTATGTATAAAATGTAAAACTAAGAATAATTCAGAATAGTAACAACAT